CTGGACGACCCTGGCACGCATAGGGAGACCACCCCCTGCGCACCCCCTCTGGTGTCGAGAAAATGCCACGCCTGCTATGCCTGGACGACCCTGGCGCGGATAGGGAGACCACCCCCTGCGCACCCCCTCTGGTGTCGAGAAAATGCCACGCCTGCATGCCTGGACGACCCTGGCGCGCATAGGGAGACCACCCCCTGCGCACCCCCTCTGGTGTCGAGGAAATGCCACGCCTGCTATGCCTGGACGACCCTGGCGCGGATAAGGAGACCACCCCCTGCGCACCCCCTCTGGTGTCGAGAAAATGCCACGCCTGCTATGCCTGGACGACCCTGGCGCGCATAGGGAGACCACCCCCTGCGCAACCCCTCTGGTGTCGAGAAAATGCCACGCCTGCTATGTCTGGACGACCCTGGCGCGGATAGGGAGACCACCCCCTGCGCACCCCCTTTGGTGTCGAGGAAATGCCACGCCTGCATTTGCCTGGACGACCCTGGCGCGGATAGGGAGACCACTCCCTGCGCACCCCCTCTGGCGTCGAGAAAATGCCACGCCTGCTATGCCTGGACGACCCTGGCGCGCATAGAGAGACCACCCCCTGCGCAGCCCCTCTGGTGTCGAGGAAACGCCACGCCTGCTATGTCTGGACGACCCTGGCGCGCATAGGGAGACCACCCTCTGCGCACCCCCTCTGGTGTCGAGGAAATGCCACGCCTGCTATGCCTGGACGACCCTGGCGCGGATAGGGAGACCACCCGCTGCGCACCCCCTCTGGTGTCGAGAACATGCCACGCCTGCTATGCCTGGACGACCCTGGCGCGGATAGGGAGACCACCCCCTGCGCACCCCCTCTGGTGTCGAGAAAATGCCACGCCTGCTATGCCTGGACGACCCTGGCGCGCATAGGGAGACCACCCCCTGCGCAACCCCCCTGGTGTCGAGAAAATGCCACGCCTGCTATGTCTGGACGACCCTGGCGCGCATAGGGAGACCACACCCTGCGCACCCCCTCTGGTGTCGAGGAAATGCCACGCCTGCTATGCCTGGACGACCCTGGCGCGCATAGGGAGACCACCCCCTGCGCAGCCCCTCTGGTGTCGAGAAAATGCCACGCCTGCTATGCCTGGACGACCCTGGCGCGCATAGGGAGACCCCCCCCTGCGCAGCCCCTCTGGTGTCGAGAAAATGCCACGCCTGCTATGTCTGGACGACCCTGGCGCGCATAGGGAGACCACCCCCTGCGCACCCCCTCTGGTGTCGAGGAAATGCCACGGCTG